TTTTTTTTTTTTTTTTTTTTTGTACCGGGGATTGAACTCAGGTTCTTGTGCTTGCAAGGCAGGTGGCAGAACCACTGAGCTAAATCCCTGGCATCCCTGTGATGTTAATGATGTATTATACTCTGAGGAAGTGGTACAGTAATATTTATTGAGCACCTACTGTGTGTTAGGCAAAGGGGTGACATTTTAGAAACAATGTCTCCTTCATATATTTTATCTGTGGTGAGAAATGAGTTTTCTAAATTCTATGTCTGTAAAATAGAACAAAAAGATAGTGTAGGTTAAAATTCCTTTTCCCAAGGAAGGAAAAGGCAGAGGATGGATTATACTCAGAAATATTTAAATTCACTTTTGGTTTTGCAGATTCCGCTGTCACCTGGAGCTGCGAATGCCAGCCATGGTTCACCTCACCATGTTCCTCAACAATGCTGCAGCCTTTGGGCTGCCTCTTCTAGTGACTTGTATACAAACTTCCAAATATGGCAGAAAGGTTCTGTGCTCTGGGCTTTGGAGAGAAAGAATTTAGCTGTAAGGTTTGCTGGTTTCACAAAATTACTCCAGGATATTTATGCTCTTGGGTTGTGACATCACATGCCACAATGGCCCTGATGACAAGTCCATCTCCAGGGAGAAAATTGCTAAGAGCTTCATCCTGAAGTACACAGACCTTGCCAACTTGTCTGTAGCAAATGCTGGAGTGAATGCAAATGGTTCCAGGTTTTTCGTCTGCGCTATGGTTATACAGCAAGCATGTGGCCTTTGGGAACATGAAAAAGGTCATGGATGTGATGGAAGCCATGGAGCGCTTTGGGTTCATGAATGGAAAGATCAGCAAGAAGAACACCATTGACAACTGTGGGCAAACAGATGCAGGAAAACTATGTTTGACTCAACTTGTGTTACATCTTAATCAACAGACTTGTATCTCAGGAGAGCACCCCTCCACCCTACCTGCTTATAATATTCTATATTTTTTGTGTTTTGCTGCAATTGTTGTCTGAGTCCCATATTTTCCTTATTTCTTTCCAACTCTAACTTTGCAGAATCATGTTTATGATTATGAAGAAAACTAAATAACAAAAATAAATAAATTCATTCTTAAGTCAAGGTAAACTGTATAACACTACTTCTCTTTTACTTTGAGCATGGAGACACAGCTTGAGTATTAAAATGTTGAGTAGGTTTTTCCCTTATAAGAATACAGCACAATATTTTTTTGTATAAAATATATTCTGGGTGCTGCCATATCAAAATTGCCTGGTGCATGACAATGCTTGCTGTCTAGGAGTCTCTGCCGTCTGCTGATCTATAGGTAATAGAAGATGCCTCTGGAATATGCTTCCCTAAAACTATCATTGCATATGCTATGGGTGTAAATCACCAGTCATCTGAAGGCAAAGTGGCATGTGATTTACTGCAGTTACAGGAAATATAAATTTGATCTGGTATGTGACAGCTCTTTCACTGATGATGTTATACAAATAGTTTACTGTTCAAACAGTCCCTTCTCTGGATAGTCTGAGTTAAGGTAGCTGTAGACATACTGCTATTTTGTGGTTGTCCTGTGTATCCTCTGACAAAACTGCCACATGTTCCTGAGGCTAATGAGAGTGGTAGGATATTCCTTCATATGAGTGTGTGTTTTAATTAAAGTTACTTTCTGCCCAAGAATGAATCAAACACTGAATTATTTCATTGGCTAACACTTTACTTTTGGTCTTCTGCTTTCTTTTTTTTTTTCACTGGATCTTTACAACTGAGCTCTGTGAGGTGTTTTAAAGTGAATAGGCTCTTAATCAGCTATTATAACATGTGAATTCCAATTTGAAGTACTACTTGTGATGATTTCCGCCAGGAACTTAACAAACATCTCTAGGCCAGATTTATGGAGTCCTTATGCACGTCAAGTTGATGAAATTCTAAGAACAATGCCTTGCTCCAACAATAATTTTCTTAATAAACCTACTAGGTGTGTGAGCCATCAAGTGGGTGAGGCAAACATGAAGGAGAAAAACAAATAAGTTAAATCAGATACTTGCCTATGGCAATATGGTTGCAGGACTGGAGTCAGACCAGTTATTCTCATTTCAGTCTTTTTTAATAATAGATTGCTTTGTTTTCTTAATTAAACACATATGTATATGTGCAGCTGACTTTTAAATGTGATGTTTTGTCAACAAATGTAATTATGCATTGCATATGACATAGTAGTGAGGCCATGCAGCTATAATAACAGGTCTCATCTACAACTACAAACTCTGGTATATATGTCCATGTACCAGCACACATGGTCATACTCAAATGTGCATCTGCAGTCAGAATGTACCCTCTTTCAAAGGAAACTTTACAGTCTGAGTGTATCTTGCTTCAGGTTATGACTTTGCCAAAAGTTGGGCATTTACTTAAAAACTCTGTTGCCTTTTTTAACCCCCCAAAATAAATAATAATAATAGTATCTGACCTGCAGCGTTATTAAGATTAATAAAGGTAATGCATGGAATGTCCTTAGCACAGAGCCTGGCACTAATAAAAATTTAATATTTCCTAGATAATTGCCTCATTTTCTTCATAGTGCTATGATTATTTGTCCTGGTCTTTCTTTTCGTGTTTTCCCCTACTGGAACTTAGCTCCAAGGATCCCTGTAAGAGCCTGTAAATAAATTAATGACTGAAAATAATTTAATAGCACTGGACAAAATGAAGAAGATAACCTCTATGAACAAATAGAGGAAGTAAGTTGCACTACCAATTTCTTACATACGATTCTGTGTTCATGTATTAAAAAGGAGCAACTGCCCAGAGAGAATCAGCTAAAGAAATCATATCTAATTTTATTTCTTTTTCTGCACTGGAAATTGAACTCAGGGCCTTGGGCTTTCCAGGCAGGCACTGCACCACTGAACTACATCCCCAGCTCTCATAATTAATTTTGGTAGAGCGTAGGCAGTTTAGTGAGTGCCTTTCTCTCTATGTACTGCAAGTTGGTATACCTAATCAACACACGTCTTTGTTTTGAGTTCAGGCCAATTTCCATTCCCAAACTTCAGTGGTTGTCACAGGCCTGCCACTGAGATGCCATAGTGTTCCACTTCTCAGTGTTTTTGTTCTACTCCAGCATTGGAGTTCAGAGTTTCAATTCACTAAATGCAGTGCAGATGCCTTCAAAGGTTGAGACTGTATGTCCAGAGGAGCCTATCACACACATTAATATCAAAAGCAATTACCATAGGGGCCAGGGATTTAGCTCAGTGGTTCCACTGCCTGTTTAGCAAGTGCAAGGTCCTGAGTTCAATCCCTGGTACAAAAAAAAAAAAAAAAAAAAAAAAAAAAAAAGCAATTACCATAGCACAGGCACATAGAAACAACCCTATAAATTGTTATCATCCATTCACTCAATGGGGTTTATTGAGTACCGATTATGTGCCTATAGCTATTGAATGATATAAGTAAAAAGAACTAAACAGATCGGATGTGCGAGAGAACCAGGCAGGCAGTCATCGGTTGCCTATTTCTGAGGTAAATCTAGGCTTGTGTGTGCTCCTAATGCAGGGTTCTGAAGGAGTGCAAAGTTGGGCCTGAGTCACAGAGTGAGGTACGAACCCAGACTTTGCTATATGATGGACCGTGCATTCATTCAGAGCATCCTGCAAGGTAAAAATCTAGGGTTCTCTACATGTCTGTGATCAGGAGTGCAATTATGAGTAACGCAAATTAAAATTGGATAAAAGTCAAAATCTTGAATGGCATATATGAAGTAAGAATGGGTTTATATGAGTCAATTGCATGTTTCTGTGACTGTCAGTGAAGTTAGATGGTCTCTCCGTGTGTGCCTATGCGTGTGTGTGTGATGTGTGACCCAATTGAGGAGTTTATGTGTGGAGGTACAGGTTTGTGAGGCAGACCCCGGAACGGGCGGCTGACAATCTGAAGGTGAGGACTAGGTAACCCAAGAGTTATGTGCGGTACTGTGAGCTGTGGAGAGTCTAACTTGTCTGTGTTAGTCAAAATTGGGACTTTGTGACGAACATACCTGGGTCCACTCGTTTTTTGTGCACGAGAGGGTCAGAAATTCGCGTGTGAGGGGCCTACGAAGAAGTCCGCGTGGGTAACTCAGGCTAAGAGGGCAACTGGGAATGGAGTTTCCAAGACGTCGGAGCGGCTGCGGGCGCGGAACAAGTTGGGAGCGCGTGGCGCGGGCGGCTGTGAGCGTGTGCGTGTGCGTGTGCGTGTGCGTGTGCGTGTGCGCGCGCGCCAAGTTCGCTTTCCGTGAGCGATGGG